ATACGGGTTCGAGATCGTACTACTGCTAGGAGTTTAGACACCGTCTTTTAGAGTAGCCATCTCTAACCAAATCACAACTGAAGAAAGTGTGAAACTCAGACTTGAAAATTGGAAAGTCTCGAGGGAAAATTACTAGAAACACAATAGCACTTGGAGCCCTACCAAGCAAGGATGGTGTAGGTTCATGACAGAATGGTCAGCTCGAGGACGTTTAAAGTTGGTGATCTTGTCCTTGTTCTCAAAAGACCTATTCTTACACACCATAAAATGGGTGAAAATTTTGAATCAAGTTGGGAGGGAACATTTGTCATAGAAAAATTCTACTTAGGAGGATCTTACCAACTGGTGGATTTTCAGGGCGAAAGACATATGTTGTCAGTTAACAACCACCACTTGAAGATATATTACTCGACATGAGGCTGCTCAAAATCAACATTTGCCTTTGAAATTTTGATTATTTTGAGGTTTTTTATTTGGCTAAATGTCTATGACTGGGTCCAAAAATTTTGTAATAAATTGACTTGAACAAGATGAAAAGTTTTTTTTTGGTTCGCCCATTTTGGTTTCCCTTTTTCTGTTTCTAATTTTAAAATCTAATCAAATTAAAACTAAAATGAATAAAAAAATTTGCAAATAATAAGAAAAATTATTGTTTAATAAGTGCTTAGTTCTTGTTCTTGTTCATGATGAATGTCAACGCACTGATGTTTTTTTTGTCTTCTGCAAAAAAAATGTCAAGACGCAAGCTGATTTTTTCTTTTTTGAGATGGCCTCAATCTCACACTGAATGAAGAGTTGGCTACTTAGGGTGGCATTATAGACATGGACTTAGACTTTAGTCATGTCAATGTGGAATATGAGAATCCACTGTTGGATGTTGTCAGTCACCGGGAAAAGGAATGGTCACCATCTCCGTTAAAGAAGCGCACTAATCCCACAAAAGTAAGGAATGGTCACCATCTCCGTTAAAGAAGCGCACTGATCCCACGAAAGTAAGTTGTGTAAAATTTATATAAGTTTTGTATTCTACTCAAGTATATGCATCGTTATCAAGTAATAAAGAACCTTCTATTTAAGCCCTAAATATCGATCCCACGGGGAAAGTTTAAATTTGAAGTGATAAATTAACTAGGAAATTCATAGAAAGTCAAAACGAAATCACTCATTAATTTTGAAGGTTAAGATATTATCAAAACTAAATTACTAAACTATTAGCAAAACATAAATGCAAAGTTTAAACTATAACTACTAATCTACTAAACTATGTTTATGTAATGAAGATTTCTTATGTGAAAAAACATCTTTCACACTACAATGAGGTTTTGGTGAAATGATATGAGATAAATGTTTATAATATGTATTGTGCAAAATAGGATCAATTTTAAGTGCATAGAAAATTTTTGGCTAATCCCAGATTTAGTGCTTAAATCCGTGGCTAGACTAAGAGGTTACCGGCTCCCACTTCCCTTCACCTGAAGGCTAACTCTCATTATAGTTTTTAAACACTAAGACCGAATTAGGAATTTTAGTCTGTCACCCTAAAGATTCTCCAATTCTAAACCCAACAAATTATATTTCTCTATTTATTTGCACTTAATTCCATGAACGAATTTCTCCTTCATGGAATCAAATGTGATCCTCACTCTGTTGTAAAATTCATACTCCATTTCCCGAATTCCATAACACATTTTAACAATTCAATTGGACAGATTGAAAAGTAAATAAAGTTCGGAGTTGAAAAATCATCACAATTTATTTTAAATTATGGCACATTCATATTATCTCTTCATTTCACCATATCTCAGAGTAGGGGGATAGATAAAAGAAACTGCTCAGACTTTATGAGAAAGATACAATAAAACACAAATTTCATATATAAAAAAAAGTTCATACAATACTAATAAACAAACAACACTTATCTGAAACTCTTTCTCAAAGCAAATCTCTTGTAGCCTTTTCTAGGAAATGTAGGAAGAAGATATCTCTCACTTTTCCCCTTCTCCAACACTCTTAGAGAAATATACACGCTCAGTATCACTACAAAAACTCTAAACTCTTAAATAAAACTCACTAATTGACCCCAAAATGGTGGTGGAATAAAGATGGATGATGAATTGAAACGAGGAATGACGAAAAATGAGCATGGTGGAGCCCTTTTTCTAATGAATTTTGGCTCCAAGTAAAACCTCAAGTTGGTTCTCCAATAGGTGCCTCCAAAATCTATTCAAAAAGCATCCAAATATGTCGAATTTTCTAGAAACAGGAGTTGAACCGACATTGGCGTTGTTGGCGCCAGTATACCGCGATTTAATTCGTTGCTCTATCTAACGACGCCGTCGACATTGATTAAATTTATTGTCTGTTATGTTGTTCTGCGCGGTCGGTGTTGCCCTTTGCACGGTCGACTCTAAGTATTTCTTCAAAAATGTCATTTTGACTCCAAATTCCATCATTTTTGCTTCAAGTCCTAAAAATCAACAACCTACAAGAAAACATCAAAATACCTTCCATAAAAGTGCAATATCACCAAAAATGAGTATAAAGTATGGGTCTAAAAATGCATATATTTTTTCTGTATCCGGCACCAGAGAAGACTCCTCACAGAAGAGGAAGATGATGATCACTCAAAAACAATATCTAGTCGAAGGAACTACTCATCTACAATCCTTGATAACTGCTCCATCGAGAAATTTAGTAGGTGCTAACGAAGAAAGAGTGCAAGATGCACGACTTAGAAGAACGCAACGCTGCAACGCCAACCAACGTAAGCATTGATCCTTCAAGCGTGAAGAAAGAAGAAGACAGAAAGAAGCTGTAGGTTTACTCACCTCTATTCCTAAGGGAAAGATTTATAAGCCATGCATGAACGAGACCTAATCTAGCCCACCTGATACAAACGATTGGTTAGAGCCGGCATAGACTCGATGCAGGCAGATATACCCCATGATTTCTATGAGGGTTGCCCACTATGCAACGTTGAAATCCTCGTAGGAGCATCTATTATTTTTTATTAAAATCGGTAGAATCTTTTAAAACTGATATGGTTAGCCGACTTGCTAGTTTAACCATTGGTTTTGACAAGTTTTTTGCAAAAGCGATTTTGTGCCTAAGCTGAATCGGTCAAAAAAACGGTTCACCGCTGAATCGGTCAGAACAATCAATCTGGTTTCACTTTTAAAACAATGGTAACAGGATTTGCTAAATATGTGAAATCCATTACAAAGAGATAGAAATCATGCATTCACATATTCAATCTACTAATCAATTGAATAAAAAAATGATGATTTTCAATGAATGTGAAGTTCCGTTGTTGTTAATAACTACCTATCAATTACTAGTAATAATTGTGGAACGTTTTCACTAAATCGACTCTTTGTTTCTCCCGTCATCGATAAACTTCACTCATATGAGATTATTTAACAAATGATCTCTAAAATTATGATACGGAGTCATTTTAAGCTCAAATTTAAATGGGACCCACATTATGGAAATGACATGAAATGTTAAAAAAACTAAACTGGATATGAAATCGAAAGAAGAAATTCATACTTCAAAGATTCGATCAAGGTTCAAGTAGAGGTTTAACCAAATTTCATAAGAAATAATAAATTTGGTTTATTTTAATTAAAATGTTGTTATGATATAATGATAATTTTTTACTAGATTATTATGTAATATTTTAACGATGATTTACACTTAAATATTTTGAACATAGTTTTAGATTAAAATTTTGAGAAATTATATTTTAATCATTTTCTCATTATTTAATCAAAATATTTTATTTTCAACCTGAAAATCAAAATCAAAAGATCAAAATTGGTTATTATTAAAATGAATAAGTTATTCAAAAACTGGTGAAAAATAGGTTCTGGTCGGTTTTTTGCAAAAATGATTTTGAGTCAAGACATAATCGGTCAGAGGACGAATTCAGGTTGAACCGATCAGACCAATCGGCCTAATCTTCTTTGTGAACCATTGGTGACAGGTATTGCTAAATATGAGTTATACATTGCAAAGAGATAGAAATCAAGCATTCACACATTAAAATTAGTAATTAGTTGGATAAGAAACTGCTCCTCAAAGTGTGCACATTGAAAATCATTTGCAATGGAAGTTATTTATGAATGTGAAGTCCCATAGTGGTTAATACCTACAAAAGCATAAGCCAAGTCTACTACTGATGTGCTTTGTAAATTCATCTAAACAGATCTTATCTGTCAATAAGGCCAACCTATAATAATAACACAATTCACTGACCAAAATGTTAAGGAAATATGCTAAAGATAATATCTCAATTAGTCATTAATTAGTAATTTATTAAGGTGATGTTTGATCTCTTTTTCTTTTCTATTTTTTATTTTTAATTAATTTTACTTTATTTGTATTATGATTTGAAAAAAAAATATATATGTAATATTGAAAACAGATCATCAAAATTTTAAAACATCAAAATCATTTTTCGTTGACTAAGGTACTTATAAAACAATTGAACTTTTTTAAAAAAATATTTTTAAAACAAATGAAAAAATCTCAATAAAACATTTTTTTTTAAAATAAATAATAAAATTGAACCCAAATAAGCCTTATTTTGATTAACAAATAATTTAAATCATATATAATATTAATTTACTGAAATTAACCCTTTTTAATTAACCTTTATTAAATCAAATGTAAGATCAATTTAACATTATTTAATAATTTATAAACTGATTAAATATAGAGGTTTCTATTTAATCAAATTGAATAACAAACATTCATAAGTTTATACATTATGAAAATCACTAGGATAGTATTCATGCTTAAATAAACCTTTGGCTAAAAATTGAAAAAAAACAAGTTGATCTTTGATATCAAAGTATTTAAAGTACAGAAAAAGCTTCAACAAACCGAAGAAATCTTCTACTAATTACAGATTCTAATAAGCAATCAAGGTTTTAGATTTAATACTGTCGTCACTACTGATATGAAATTCTTCATAAAAATTCTTCATAATCATTCTTCATAATCATCACTCTAATTCTGGTAATGGGTAGAAATCTTCGACGCATAAATCACGTACACCAAGACGGTCATCTAATTCTTCTGGTGTATAAACTGATGAATGGCGCCCTGCAAATTTGTACAACGATTTACTAATTAAGAATGCATCATCTACTTAAAAACTTATAAAACTTAGAGCTATGAATATATGAAATAATTAAGAAAATAAATTGAAGAAAAAAACCTGGAACTGATATTTCAAAATCAGACTCATCTGTCTCATAAAAGCCTTCTTCAATCTACCAAAAAAAAACAGAGTAAAGACAAAATTTTAAAAAAAAAAAAAACTACACAAAATTGACATTCTATCTAAATAAAACGCAACATCACAACTTTTGAAGGAATGAAAGAATAAAAATATTTGTGAACAGATATGCACACCATATTTAGTATGAACAAATGATAGTAAAATTTAAAATAGCATGAAATGGAAAAAACAAAATTTCATGTCTAACAATCTAAGGGAATTGCAACGGAAATTGCCTACACATGTACCAGAATGTTTTTCAATGAAAACGTATTTGCTAATTACCATTAATGGTTCTTCGAAATCTGAGCCTGATGGTTCATTGTTTGATAGACATAGGTTCGGAAGTAAATCTTCCTCATTAACTGAAATAAAAGGATCTGCTTCCCATTTTCCATGCTTAGCCCATTCATACAACTGTTTTGTTTGCTCAGCAGTGAATATATGGCCGATGGGAACCCATTTAAAACAGTGTTTTATTTCTTCATCATTCAATAAAAAATCAAAGTGCTGCAAATCTAACTTCCTCTGCAGTTCCTGTGTCGTTTGATTCTTTTCTACTTCTTTTGAAGCACCTACAACAGGTAAGTAAGTAATTCCAAGATCTGCCAAAGCCTTGCACTCTTTGTCAGCAGTCTTAGGAGTCATCAATTTATCAGTTTTCATCGTCAAAGCGGCTTTTCCTGGAAATTTCAACAAATTATGACTCTCAGAATGCTGTTAAGTAATATTAAGCTATTAGTGTAACCATGCATATGTAATGTCATACCTCTACCAATGTGTACATTTTTCTCGGGAACAACAACTGCAGGAGGGGTATCCATCTTCAGCAACCAGCCAAATCAACACTTTCACAACTATACAGAAAAAACTAATATGTTAAGAAAAGCTTTCACAATCTTTCAGGCATTTTTATGGCGCAATAAAGTAATTTTCAGGATATTTTTTCATTGCAAGCAATTCTTGATATCAGATATTCATCACATAAAGTCAATAAAAAGCACAACTCGAAATGACATAATCAGACCATTCTCAGAAAACCATGCAACATGCATAACAAAAGATCAATCAGGTCAAAATATAAATGACAATTTATTCTTTTAAGCACGTGAAGACTTGTGCAGAGGGTTGTAAATGAACCAATGCACTCGAAGAACAACTTGAACTTGACTCCATTATAACTCAATCATGTTAAGCCAAAGACTAACATTTAACTCTTTCCGAAAAGATCGATACACAGCTAAAGTAACGTTTAAAGCACTTTCAAAAAAGCATTTGAATATTCTTCCATAAAAAATGTATTTTTAATTTGCGCAACTTGCTCATATATTCCAGCTTTCCAATTTGATAGCAATTCTCATTCATTCTTAACACTAAGCTCATTTAGCTCTTAAAGTGACCTTAATTTCCCAATTTCAGGTGCACTAGAAAATGTATGTGAGGGCAAGCATAAAAATCTAAAAGAATTGCAAAACATGTTTGTAAATATTGGAGCTTTAGTGTGAGGTATATAAGTATATAAGAATCAGGTGGTAAGCATGTAAAGGCCCCATGATATTCACACCTATACTTCGGCTTTTACATTTATGCCACACAAAGTTTCAGATTTTGCAAACAAGCCACACGACAATTTCAGATTTTGCAAATTGAACACTAATGGTTGACCACTGAAAGTTTCAGATTTTTGTAACTAAACCATGCAAGGTTTCAGATTTTTGTAACTAAACCATGCAAGGTTTCAGATTTTTGCAGGTAAACCATGCAAGGCTTTAACACATGTACATTGTCCTAAACCTTTCATATTGCAAAAGAGACAACTCCCTTTCATGCATAGGATAAGGTGGAATGTGTGTAAAAATGAAGTTTGGGTGTTAGAAGCGTAAATATTAAGAATTGGGTGGTATGTATATGGTGGTATGTATATAAATGTTGTAATTTAGGTGTTATAAATATAAATATATAGATGGTATGGATGTAAATGCCCTGAATTAAAATAAAACACAAATCTGGGAAAGAAACACTTCAGATGAAGAGAAATCGCCCATTATTTGCCAGCATTACCAAGAATAGATAAACGGAATTGATAAGAAACAGCTGCCTACTGATGGTTTATTACTTCATAAGAACAGAAATCACAAGCAACGTTGTTAAGCAGGGCAATTACAGCTCATCTCCAGAACAACATTATTTATCTCGGTAGCCAAATAAACAGTAATGCAAGAATATCGAGCCACCAAGCAAAAGAGTGAACTGACGAGAAAAGAAGAACAAGAAAAGCCTTTCAAGCTTGGTCCAAACCTACCAAAGCATCCTACCTCTACTCGACAAGCATTCCCGCAAATGTTTTCCCAATCAATTTGTTCAAAAACACACTACAAACATGGGAATTGAACAACGATTTCCATTTTTTTTTCTTTTATGCATAGGGTATGTTTTGCATGAGTACGCAGCCAACCAAATCAAAGATATAAATGAACTTGATTGATATGCATGAATCGACTCCTGGTAATAAAAATCATTGTAGTAGCTCTCGTGATTAATATTAAATAGTAATATTCGTGATTAATATTAAATAGGAAGGGAAGATGGCCATAAAGCATTGACAGCAACGCTAGCTGCTCCAGTACTGCCCCAAAAATATCATTCCTCATAGTTCATTATTTTGCAATAAAGACAACAAGACGAATCTAAGTTCATTTCCTTTGTGAATGTTGAATCAGTATACATTCTAAAAAAAAGTATGCAAAGGACTGTGATCAATTCATATATAATCAAAATACCAAAAAAACTTCAATCCACTAAAGCCTAAGCTTAATAAAAGGCTGCACAGGCATGTCGAGCAACCGAGTAGGAAATCCAGAAATCAAACAAGAAAATAAGCAATCAACACCGAAATCGAGTAAATCAGCATGTGTTTCGAGCAGTCGAGCAAGGGAAACGAAAGGCCAGCAATGTGCAACGTTATTGAGTGTTTAAGGGCGGGAAAGAGGCTACCTCTTGGCGCAAATCCAAGGTAAATGCAAGAATAGACCCAGAAAAATTTCTACACCACCTCTTTCTATCAAAGCTTCAACCGAAAATCTCAACGGCCAAACAAGCAACCAAGCAAAGGTATCGAGTGAACCAGCAAGGAAACCGAACAAGTCAAAAAAATCCAGCAGCACTTCCCCTTTCTCTAAAATTTTCGGCCAGCACATCCCCCACTCTCAAATTTTCGGTCTGGCTTAAGGAACTCCCCAAATGGGAATTTTATAGCAAAAGAGGAAGGGAGGAGCTCACCTGGACTCACCCAGGGCTGAGCCGAACACAAGAGGCGGAGCCTGTTGCCACGAGGTGAGGTAGGGCGGCTTTGTAAAGGTAGGTTATCGAGTGCTGAGGCAGGCATCAAGTGCCTTGGCTGGGGAGCTTACCCAAAGAGGAAATCGGAGGGGAAAACACAAGGTTTAGGGAAGGGGGATTTGCAGGAGGTAGGTGCTTTGGTTGTGGCGTGAGATGGGATGGATGTCAGAGAGGGACCTCGACCGAAGCTTCACGAGCAAGGAGAAGGGAGGGCTCATGATGAAGATCTTGTGTGCGACAGAGGAGATTCGAGAGTAGCCTTGGCTCGCGACAGAGGTGAAAGGGCAGGAGATGTTTCGCGAATGGAAGGGGGCAAGAGGCGTGAGGTAGCTTAGGGATTCAGGGATTTTAGGAATTTATCTGAAAAAATGATTCTTTTTTTAATTTTGTAATTTTTTTAATATTCAAAATTCTCCACTTCGCGCGTGCACTCAACCTTAGGTAATTTCGACAAAAATGGGTGTCCTCCCTAGGTAATTTCGACGTTCCAGACGCGTCTGCGCGATCCGTTTCGTCATCTGGGGTCCTCCGGACAACCTCGTCGCCGATCGGGTCAAAAAACGAGCCGAAATTCGATTTTCATCAAAATTTTGATTCGAGCTTAATTTATTGATCAAGATTGTGCGGATGATTGTCATGAGAGGTTTAGAAGATATTTGGAGTGATTTTGAGTTGGTTTTGGAGTTCAATTTGGTGGATTTTGGTCACTTGGTTAATTTTGGGGTGTTAGGTTGGACTTGGTTTTGGGTTAGGCGAAGGTTGGGTTAGGTTCAAATTGATGATTCAAAATGGTCTGGAGGAATGTCACAAAGAGTTTTCAACACAAATTGGGTGTCAATTTTGAGATTTGGGCATTCAATTGGATGACATTCAAAGACATTGCCAAATTAGGGCACAATTGGGGGTGTTTTGGAATTAGGTTGAAATTAAGTGACATTGAGGCTTGACCAAAGTCAATTGAAGGTCCAAATTGATGTGTAGGATTGTTATGAAGAGTTTAGGATCCAAATTGAGGCAATTGAGTGGATCATATGGTTCAATTACGTGAAATTAGGTCATAGGGCTAAAATTGGGTTCAATACAAAAGTCCAAATTGGTTTTGGAGATAAATTGGGTTCAATACAAAAGTCCAAATTGGTTTTGAGATATTTGGATTATGGTTTTGGAGATAGGTTTTGGGAAAGTTTGGGGGTGCCAAGATTATTTTTCTAATTTTGGCCATTTTGGGGGTATTTTGATAAATTTGAACTTTTTTTGTAGTTTTGAGTAACTTGGGTATTTTGAAAAGGTTTGAAATGATTTTTTGGATAAATTTGAGTATTTTGGATGAATTTGAGGATTTTGGCCAAATTTTATGGTTTCAAGAGCATTTAGGTAATTAGGATGGATTTGGGAGTCAAAAGACCAAGTTGGATATTTTCAGTAGAATTGGGAACCCAACCACTATATGTGAGCTATGGACGAATAGAATCCCCATTTGGGTCCCCTATGTACTGGTCTTAGCTAAACCCCAGCCTAGGGCTAGTGGGTTTAGGGGACCATCTACATGAGTCTCCCAAAAGATCAAGGGATGAAAGTTAACAAGTTTTAAGTTTAAGATTGCGAGTGAGAGTGAGTGCAAGTGAGTGAACTAGCTCCAGACCAGCACCCATTGTCAACCCTAAGGTCAGGCAGTCCTAAGGGGACTCTCCTTGAGCTCCCTCATAGTGACCCCACCTACTAAGTGTTAGAGGTTATGACCAATATGTGGAACTTCAAGTTGAGCAAAGAAGATGGTAGAATTTCTAATGGTGAGGGTTCATGTTCTAACTTTTTAGGAATAGTTAACAAGAAAGCCATTTGGCTATACTCAAGGCTACTAAAGAGAAAAAACTAAACATCAACCAAAAGTAAGGTCAACAATGACATAATAAATATTAAAATTATTTTATTTTAATGTAAATGATGTAATAATTATAAAACAATATTTTTTACAAATTTAATATATAATACTTTAATGTAAGATATTCTCAGTTTTTAATCCAAATCATTTAGAGACAACATTTTAATCATTTTCTCAGTTTTTAATCCAAATCATTTGTTTCCAACAATTAGAACCAAATGAAAAGGCGAAATTTGATTTTTATTAAAATCGGTGGAATCTTTAAAAACTAATATGGTTAGTCGACTCGCTAGTTCAACTGTTGGTTTTGACAAGTTTTTTGCAAAAGTGATTTTGTGTCTAAGCTGAATCAGTCAAAAGTACGGTTCACCGCTAAATCGGTCAGAATAATCAATCTGGTTTCATTTTTAAAACAATGGTAAAACGAATTGCTAAATACGTAAAATCCATTACAAAGAGATAGAAATCATGCATTCACATATTCAATCTAGTAATCAATTGAATAAGAAATTGATGATTTTCAATGAATGTCAAGTTCCGTTCATGTTAATAAATACCTATCAATTACTAGTAATAATTGTGGAACGCTTTCATTAAATCGACTCTTTGTTTCTCTCGTCATCGATAAACTTCACTCATATGAGATTATTTAACAAATGATCTCTAAAATTATGATACGTAGTCATTTTAAGCTCAAATTTAAATGGGACCCACATTGTGGAAATGACATGAAATGTTTAAAAAACCAAACTGGATATTGAATCGAAAGAAGAAATTCATAGTTCAAAGATTCAATCAAGGTTCAACTAGAGACTTAACCAAATTTCATAATAAATAATAAATTTGGTTATTTTAATTAAAATGTAGCTATGATATTATGATATTTTTTTACTAGATTAATATATAATATTTTAACAATGATTTACCCTTAAATATTTTGAACATAATTTGAAATTAAAATTTTGAGAAATTATATTTTAATCACTTTCTCGTTATTTAATCAAAATAATTTATTTTCAACCATAAAATCAAAATCAAAAGATCAAAATTGATTATTATTAAAATCAATAAGTTCTTCAAAAACTGGTGAAAAATGCATTCTTGTCGGCTTTTTGCAAAAATGATTTTGAGTTGAGATAGAATCGGTCAAAAGACAAATTCAGGTTGAACCGATCCGACCAATCGGGCTAATCCTATTTGTAAACCATCGGTGACAGGTATTGCTAAATATGAGTTATACATTGCAAAGAGATAGAAATCATGCATTCACACATTAAAATTAGTAATTGGTTGAATAAGAAACTGCTCCTCAAAGTGTGCACATTGAAAATCATTTGCAATGGCAGTTGTTTATAAATGTGAAGTCCTGTGACGGTCAATACCTACTAAAGCATAAGCCAAGTCTACCACTGATGTGCTTTGTAACTTCATCTAAACAGATCTTATCTGTCAATAAGACCAACCTATAATAACAACATAATTCACTGACCAAAATGTTAAGAAATTATGCTAAAGAATAAAGATAATATCTCAATTAGTCGTTAATTAGTAATCTATTAAGGCGATGTTTGATCTTTTTTCTTTTCTATTTTCTATTTTCAATTAGTTTAATTTTATTTGTATTATGATTTGAAATAAAATATATATGTAATATTGAAAACAGATCATCAAATTTTTAAAACATCAACATAAATTTTCGTTGTCTCAAGTATTTATAAAACAATTTCTTTTTTTTTTTAATATTTTTAAAACAAATGAAAAAACCTCAATAAAACAATTTTTTTAAAATAAATAATAAACTTGAACCCAAATAAGCCCTACACAACCCAAATAAGCCTTATTTTGATTAACAAATAATTTAAATCATATATAATATTAATTTACTGAAGTTAAACCTTTTTAATTAACCATCCTTTTTAATTAACCATTATTAAATCAATTGTAAGATCAATTTAGCATTATTCAATAATTTATAAACTAATTAAATATAGAAGTTTCTATTTAATCAAATTGAAAAACAAACTAATATCAATTTAAGATTAATTTTCAATTTTCTTACTTATAAAATTTAATATTGAAGCTTTTGGCAACACATCTAATATTCAACATCCGCTTTATTCTCTTCCTACCAACAAAATCTGTAAAGTCAAAAAAGAAATAAGTCATGACAACAACTTGTGATAAATGCATCAACGCGTTAGCGAAGAATGAAGGAGAAGAGCTCTTGAGATGTGCACATTTAATTTAAAACCGCACAATGCTAAGATTTCATAAATCTAAGATTTAGGTAGTGTTTGGTAGTACGTTTAATAGGATTTACGGGTGAATTAAACGTAAATCCACCCAAACGCGAAAAAATGATAACTAATCCGGTGCTTCACGAAATCCAAATTTCTCTCCATTCCATCTATATTTTCATATAAATTCGATTTTTTAAGTGGATTTAACAGATTTAACTTTGGAGGAAAATTAAATCCTGTGATAAGACGCTTAACGCGTCAAACAGACTTAAATGGATTTAATCTTCCTTAGCTAAACCAAACACTATCTAATAATTATAGCATCTAGATTTTATGAATCCAGATTTACTAAATCCTAGCTAACGTAAATCATGTACAGTCAAACACCCCGATATAGTGAAATCTTGTTGAAATGGGATTTAGAAAATCGTAAGTTTTAAAATGGTATTTTCTACCTTTCAGGATGATTTAACTCAAATCAATCTTGCATAAATCCTGCTACCAATCAACCCCTTAAAACTGAGTGCGCTAGAGAATCAAAAAAATTATCCTCTGTCACAATATTCAAGTTGTCATGAGAAGGCGAAGTTCTCAAAACCAACAAGCTAATAAAAAAAAACAGAGATTGGTTCTGATTTCTAAAGCAAGATTCAACTCCCAGGTAACCGACAAAATC